ATTGTAGTTTCTTCCATCAAAACTGCATTTGCTGTGGTTGATGGAAAAAACTTCGTGGTAGTGAATGTATCGTCATAATTATCGTTTAACCAATCGTTATCAGACATTTGTTGTGGGTTTTGATTAGGTACGAATGAAGACGTGTCCCATTCCCTTGAATAGTTATAAGCAAACTCGTCATCGAGTTTGTCTCCCATTCGAATAAAGTACCAATGACCAATACGAAATCCAATATCGTATCTCGGATCAAATTTGACTCTAGCTAAAAATATATAGGAAATGTTAAAATCAATATAGCGAAAGTAATCTGCGCAATATCCGTTGAAATAAAGGTCTCGGTCATGACTCACATAAATCTACGAAGAATCCACCATAGTCACGAATACGATCTTGTATCTCAGCATTACTGGGATTCATTATTTCTCTGTTTTCTGGACCATTACTACCAAATTTCCTTCCTAACAGTCGATCCCTTAAATTGCGTAACCACTCTCGCACTCCTTCACCAAATTTAGCATGTGTTGAGTCTCCTCGGAAGGAGGCTTTGTTTTCTGGGAAATTACATGACATGGTTTGTTATTATGATAACAGCACATTTCTTAGTTTCAACAGTTATTTTAGTACAGTATTCATATAGTTCGATAATACAAACTCAAATGCATCTACTTTCAGCTAGTTTACAAATTTACGATATTACTCTAAACGTTTAAAATGATTATTTTAGGGTATGTAAGATTCCCAAAAAACTTCAATAATTCAAGTCTAACTACGTGATACTACACCTTCATTATAAGAGCCATTAGAATTAGAAATCTGATACGTTAATAGAAACAGCAAAAAAATGGGTAACCACATATTAACTTGATAGAAGAAAAGTTTTTATTAACAATAGTTAATTTTTTCTCTTTGCTTTATAGATGTACGAACGGAAGTACACTTCGTGCACGTTACGATTGCATCGTTAGTGCTAGCAATTTTATCAATAATCAAAATAAGTTCCAGTTACTCTTGCAAACGAATTGACCTTGGCCATTGTGATATTGATGTAATAGGATCTTTTCTAGATTGAAATAGGCAAGATAGTGTTGCACTATACCGGTGTTACATGATGCATGTTATTGGCGCGTATTGTCTTTTTTCCTAGAGTATACAAGTGCTAGGATTAACTTGATTCTTGTCGACTAAAAATGATCTTGCTGAGAGTTGCATTAGAATTGCATAGGAGCCATAGCACACGATCATAGGCATTTCTAACAATCGTGGTTCATGGGTAGACGATAGGATTTCGATAAGAATTTCGTCATAGACATGACATGCGCGTGTGTGGGGTGATATGCAATATTTACTCTGGGATTTTCATTGATCGGAATCCGCCTATGCTACTCGGCGTATTCTCAAGTTCTTTTTAATCTCTCAAACAGCCCATTTCTAACGGCTGTTAAAGAGACACGTCACGTGATACAGTGACGGAGGAACAGTTCTTTAGACCCGTAGTGTAGTTTGTTGCTCATGAGACAGTCCAACATACTTGTTGTTCTGTTTCTTGGCAAGGCTTTTGTTTAAAGTTATTGGACAACCTGCCTGCACACATTTGGTTTGGTCAGGTTATTTTCTTATAATCATTTATTGCCGAAGGTTTACACGAATTGATAATTTGAGAATACTGTTTGAAGAGTTTCAACATTTATTGTAGGATAAGATGCTGGCAGTAAAACAAGAACTGTTAGCTTTAATAATGTTATCAAATATTGGTATTTCATGTTGATCTCTTTGCTCGTCAATGCTTGCCTTAAGTATAATTACCACGTCTTTTCTTAATATTATGAATCTTTGTTATAGTTTAAGATTAAACTTTTCATAGCATGTTGTAAATGTCGTTTATGATGTCGCTCACATATAAGTGCATCGATAGAAATATATGGAAATTTATAATTCTTCATATCATGATGTCAGAGTAGAATCTGTAATGGAATCGAATGTTGTAGAAATTAATGACGGTCATACAGCGCATGCTGCTCTTCGGTCATCTCGATAACGATCGTTATAGCGATGGAATTTGTTTAAAAGTCATACAACGCTAGAAAAACATGAAAAACGTAGGAAAATGGTTTGTGCAAAGATAAAAGAAACGTTACATATGAACAAATTTGATTAACCTTAAAATACTTAAATGTAACTGTTACAAACAAGTGAGAAAAAATAATGTATTAGAATACTACAATATTCGTATAGTTAATGCAATCGATGTTCCGTAAGCCTTAAAACCTAGCTTGATCGTGCATGTGGGTTTCCGAGGCAAAATATTAAAGATATTTAGGTGTTGCAGATTTTTGGAAATAAAATTCTGAAGAATCTTGAGAAAAACTACTATTATTACGCTAAAGGAAACGTGTTTAGTCTAAAGAAGACTTTTTTGTAAAATCAAATTATTAGGTTATAGAGGATATTTGATAAAAATAGTAATAGTATTAGCGGGCAAGAATTATTCCGAATTGAACGAACCGTAGGAATAACTTGGGCCAGTCCTGTACCTACCCACACTCGTCTAAATATTGTCGGACTATACCCCAACGTATGTTGAAGAACAGTTACCTTCCTACCCAGGCGTGTTTCGTACGAAAGGAGAGCCCGAATTTTATCGATTTAGAATTGATATTTAGTTATAGTATTAAAATAATTGAATTCCTAAGCGCTTGCTTATGCTAAAAAGTAAAGAAATGAAAGAAATAAAAGGATAACCTGAAGACAATAAATCGTTATCGCGATTTCAATTGGAAAAGCTTTGTGCAGCTGTGCTTGCCCGTAACGGAGAAGGAAGGAAGGAACGTTAGAAGTGGTCGTGGAGTGGGGAGACAGAAGCAATATGTCTACTAGTAATCCGTGCCGCTTGAGATCGACTCACGATTCAGTTACGATTGATAATACATTTTTAACCTTCTAATTATTATTCGTGAAATTAAACTTTAGGTTTAGGTAAAATGTTTGGCGAAGGTGCTATGTGGGATGATTATGGGAACAATAATGAGGACAAGAGCAAAGAAGAACAACCCGAAAGACTTGTGGTAGATGTGGATATACCAATGCTGAAGGTTGAACCATTGTCCCCAACAGCTAGTGACTCTTATGAATCCCCACAGGTATATTACTTTTAGTTTTTCTATCCTAATCTTGTGATCGCTCTTAATTAAGACGTCTCTTGGATTCCTATTTATTTGACTACTATGCATGTGACTATTATGCATGTTTTCGATGAATTAACTATCAGGAAATCGTGGATCAATTAAACACGCCAGGGTTGTACTTTCGATGTTCAATTCTTGGGGACTCCTCTGTGTAGGATTTAACAATGAAAAGCTTTCCATTCGATTTTTTAAATAATAACAAACTTTTGTGATTAAAATAAGGTCAACTGATCTAGCGAAGATGATAGTTTATTCCCGTTTATGATTATTAAATAAATATTTAAGGGATTAGGAATAATTAAGGATTTTATTTATTTTTGTTTTGTTTTGTTTTGTGTGTTGTTTATGTTATTGTAGCTATAATCATTTTCCCTTAATATATGTATTTTATTGCAGAGTCCGTTAAGTTTACCAATTGTTACCCCACTTAAATTGAAGGATCCAATTATTCTTCTTGAAAAATGTGATAAAATTTGGAAAACCCTCCAGTTAATAAAAAATGTACAAAGTAATGGGTCAGAAATGATTACTAGTTCTATGTCTTCTACTATAAAAGATCCACGCATTACATATGAACCAATACTGGGCAATAACAACAGTGCACTTCCAAATTTCAAATTCTCTGTTAAGAGCACCAAAAAATTATATCATTGCAATATATGTGGTAAAGAATACAGTGAAAATCGAAGTCTTAGGTCACATTCACAAAGAATACATGGAATATATATACCACCTAAACGTATACACAATAAACCAAAACTCAAGGAAATTGGTAGTGAAAATATTACTTCTGATCTTACTACAAAAGTTACAAGCATAAAAGTGAATGAAAATAATTTTGAAGAGAAGAAAAATAATGTCTCAGATAAGGATATGACCCTAACAACTTATGATACCTATCGTGTTAAATGTCCACTATGTAAACGCTCTATAACAAGCTTGCGAAAACATTTAACTGAATATCATAAAATTGGGTGTCCAGGTCTTGTTATCAAAGAATTAGAAAATAATGCGATAGAGTCTTCAAATCTTAATCTTCAAAATCTTACGAAAGCAATGATTAATACAATCGCCTTATCTGAGAATTCTGAAAATGATAATAATAAAATGATGCTTGAAGCAGTGAATCCAAACGAAGTCAAATCAACAGAGATTGAAACGTCAAATGGTAAAAATGACTCTCAGAATTTACAGTCAAAAAAAATGTCTAAATTCCTATGCGACATATGTTATGGAGTATATGCCAGTAGTAGTTTCTCTAAACATAGGCGTATTCATAGGAAGCGTGGTGAAACTAAAGATAATTTTGATATTTTCAATTGTCGTTACGTTAATTCTCCATTAAGTAACAAACGGATATTAATGTCAACTGCTTTGCAAAACCAAGAAAAGAGTAAAATGGATTTATTGAATTCTATAGCAAATGACAATTTACAAAATCCTAAATCTAATGCTAATAACAAAAATAATAATACAAGAAGAAGAAGACGAAGAAAAGTAAGTAAAAATAATCTTGGTAGATCATGTATTTGTGGCAGAACATTTCGTAATTATCATACTTTAATGTTACACAAAAATAGTTGTAAATTAAGAGATAACAGTGAAACAGACTCCATTACGGAAGACAATCTTGATCGAGATTCCCCTAGTGGTATTAATATTAAAATAAAGAAAAAAAACAATTCTTATGAAATAGTTAACAAAGAAATCAGCGATGAAAATAAATCTAAGGATTCTGGCCATTCCCATGATCGTTCCCATACACTGTCAGACATTTCAAAATTATTTCTGGGAAGAGATAGTAAAATATCTCAAGAAAAGCATTCACTGGATGTACTTGAATCCTTTAAATACAGCAAAGACCATAACATATTGAAAATAGAAATGATTAATGAAAACCTTGATATTAATATAGAAGAAAATTCGCATGATCCTTTAGATAATGACAGGAAAGAAAATAAACAGATTAAAGAAGAAGAGATACATATTTCCGAGATACAAGAAGGAAAAGGAAATGTTGAAGTAGTGCCTACGTATTTGTGTGAGGCAATTATGTCTGAACAATCAGAAACGACAGATGATTCTTCAAATATTTTAAAAGCAAAGAAAAGATCTATCAGTGCGGATAACACTGATAATCTTATCAAACCTAAAAAACCAAAATTAATATGTATAACAAGAAATATAAGTATTTTAAAAAGAAGAAAAGAGAACTTAATGAAGTATAATAGTCAAAAGTTAATATGTAATATACCATCATATGTGAACACCATCTGTCCCTGCGGTATAATATTTTCAACTATGAATAATTGCAATGCACATATAGCTAAATGTCATCCATTATTTCTCCGATGTGGTTTTTGTACTGAAAGATTCAATACTATTAGCGAATACAATAACCACAGATGTAATGTGGAAGAGGGAAAGATGCTTACTGAATTACAAATGGATATGTCATGTCCTTTTTGTCACATTAATGTAAAAAATAGAAATGAATTTAATCTACACATTAAAGCTCAGCATTTTGATCCAGAATTATCTTATCAATGTTACGAATGCACCAAAAAATTTGCTAGTAGTATAGCATGTCAAAAACACTTTCAAAAAGTACATGGAAAATGTTTATGTAACGTTTGTGGTAAAAAATTAACAGCTGCAGCAAAACTTAGACACGAAGGATATCATTATGGTCTTGGTTTTCCATGTCACATCTGTAAAAAGACTCATTCAACTCGAAAATATTTAAGAAGTCATAAAAGAAATATACACGGAGACACTCAAACGTTAATAACATGTTATATTTGCTTAAAGGGAGTTAAGAAAAAATTATTTAACCAGCATCTTTATGCTCATACAACTATAACATGGTGCAAACTATGTAAGAAGGTCTGTTCTAATGCAAGAATTTTAGAACATCATATTATATCGTCTCATAAAGGCAAGTATCCTTGGATTAAATGCAATTTTTGTACCAGAAAATTTAGCAATAGAAGGTTTCTGGAAACTCATTTAAAAAGAGAGAAATGTAAATGTGACTATCTTCAAATTCGAAAAAAAATTAAAAGGAATCCAAAGGATCATCATTTACTGCATAGTTAGTGTTTTAAGGCAATGTATTTTTATAACCTTAAAGCAATTTTATTTCCTTGATATTTCCTTGATATTTCCTTGATATTTCCTTAGTAAGGGTATTACATAAAATTATATATTATATATATATGTAGTTTTATTTTATTTGATAAATTGCTAAATTACAAATACTTTACATTTTGATTTAGACTTAACAAATTCATCATCAATATTGTTAATATAAAACAGTATCATTCCCTTTATTGAACATAATATTGACCGCTTGTATGTTGCGCTTAAATAAATAATATTTTTTAATATTATTAAACATTCATGAATACTTCTATAAATGTAATATCATTTAAGATAATAATTATAGCTTGTGAAGAATTCAATCTATACATTTTAATGTTATAATTTACTGTACTACTTAAAAATTACCAAAATAATGAATATTATTTACTTATGTGCTTTAAATATAATTCTTGAATATTAGAAATTTTGTAAATATTTCTGTTATAGTGATAAACTAGGTATCTAGATAATACGAATATTGGTTTTTCTTTTTTTTTTTTTTGTAATTAAAATTAACAATGAAATCTAATTAATAAATATAATAATATATAATATTAAGTAGAATTATAAATATATAGTTATGTATACTTGATATAAAATATAAGAAAAAAAATATATTTTTTAAATAATATCAATAATGTCGTCATAAATTAAATCATTTATAAACAAGATTAATATAGTCTATAAAAAAAAGTATAATTCTCCCAATACACATTAAAAAACAATGACTAATGAGTATAGTAAAGTTGTTATGACAGTTCCATCTCAAATATACGAAGAATTTGAAAGATCAAATTATAAATTAATTGTAATACACGTACTACATAGTAGATTACAAAAAGTATTACAAATTATAATGGAATCATTTAATTTATTTATTTAATAATAAATAATTGTAAATATAATGATTTCATTAAAAACAATTTGTGGAACTTTGTATACAATTTCTTTTATACGTGTGTACATATATGAATAAATAGCATAATACTTATTTTTATAACAAATTATTCATTGACTGTGCAAATATTAATTTTGACAGAAATTAAAAATTATAATAGAATAAATAGTATATTTCTTTCAATATTTATTTAGTTAAAATACATCTCAATTTTATTAAGCAGGGTGTTAGATGCTTTTCCATACAAACATTATGAGCACATATACTATGTTTAAAAATAAGAAAAAAAAGTTAGTTTAGAAAGTTTTACAATTTAGGTTTTAACTTTTGAATAAAATTTTAAATGATATATTGTTAGATAATATTCATTTCTTATTTTTGAGTATAGAATTTATTCACAACTTTTGTACAAGAAATATCTGACACCTTTTATATTTTCAATCAGTGATTTAGTCCAATTTCTTTTAGTCTATAGGCTAGTTTTTCTTTAACAAATAGGAGTAGATACACGTTTCTTTTCATTTTAATTATTTATTTAGTTTGGGGTATAAAGGTTAATCTAAATTTTGATTTTTAAAAATACATAAGTTTGCAGCTGCTATCTGAACAATGCTGTTTGAAGTTGTTTAACTCTAATACACTTCAAATTATTTTAATAAAAATAAAATACAAATACACATTACATCTTTTTTTTTTTCTAGTGAAATTATAAAATATGATTGTTATTATTTAGCAAAATATTTATTTGAATTATGTTCAATAAATAAATGTTATAAATTTCAATCAAGTTTCATTTTATTTTTAAATTTAGATAATAAATTGAATCTTCTATTATGTCTTATTAAAAAAGTATGAATAATATTCTCTTCTTATGATAATACACTTAAGATTAAAATATTAATTTTGCTTATGTGCGTGTAATATATAAATAAAAGAAAATAATATATAAGTAAATTAAAATATAAATATTCTTGTTCGTGATACTCGTAATAAATAATAAAGAGAATCATAAAAGATGAAATTGAGGTAATTTATATAATGTAGTAACACAGATAAAATATCATTGTATAATATATTAAAGTTTGTAATATATAATAGCAGAATATATATATGTACAAAAACATTCAATATTCTTATAAGAAATACACTAAATAGTCATTTCTAAATAGGCTATTTAATGTAAAACTCATTAAATTAAATAACACTACGTATATTACAAACTATATTTTATTTTTAAAAGATTCCAATCGCATATGCTAATCCAGCATAAATATGTAAAGTTATAACTCCCATAATCAAAGTAGTAAGTGCTTTAATAACTAATGTTGACCAAGAACCAGCTAATAAAAGTGATGTTAAACAATCTAGAACAAGAGGCCTATATACCGTTAATAAAAGCATACAGATAACAATAGGAACTAAGCTGCGTTTTAAATCGTGTCTTGACCACAGCCATACAAGTGTAGCTGTGGTTATATGTTGAACCTAGAAAAGATATAATATACATATATATCATATATAGCTTAAATAATTTGTATTATCTTAATCACATGTGACAAATGAATATCTTACCAAATTAATATTAGATTCTAAACTCCTTTGTATATATTTCCAATCAAATTCAGCACCACGTGCACCCACCCATAACAACAAAAATCTTGTGAGAAGAACTTCTGCACCTGCCCAACCTATTCCAGCGGTTAATACTTTAGCATGACCTTTACCAGGAATTCCATTAAGTACTAAGAGAATTCCTACTAAATCTGCTAAATCTATAGAAGACTTTAGAAATTCCTACAAGTAAAACATATAATATATAATTTACAAATTATTACTATAATAGTAATTTTATAATACATCAAATTATAGTCTACGAAAGTGTCGATATGAGCGTTATCATTTTAATACGTACACCGAATAAATCGAAACCTTCTTCTCCAACACTATCTGCGGTAGGAAAAAAAGTAGCGAGTGCTAACATCTTCACCAATTGCGTGAAGATGTAAATACCTCCAGCTTGAATGCATTTCCAAAATGCACCATATTCTGACCTATAAATAATATATTATATTAGACATACTTTCATTTATAATATAATACATAAATTAAAAAAACAAATGTATGAATATATTTATATACATATACTTACAAACCAGAATATTTATAAGTCATATAATATGGTACATATACTAATGCTAAACAATTTCCAAAATGATACAGAGTCATTTTATTATAAATTTTATTAAACTTATTTCACTATTATATGTTTAAGATACAAATCACTTCACTAAAACATAGTTACAATTACAAGATAACCTATTTAAAGGTAATATCTTTTTAACTTCAATTTTATTCAGGATTACCACTACACATTTTTAAATATTCAAAGTCATCGTACCAACATTTCTTACACGAGTTTTATAAATATAAGCATTTAGAAGATTATATTTACTATAATATAACGTCTATTGACACATTATTTAACATATATAAATAAATCTGAAGTAATTATTATTTTATTTAATATTTTTAATGATGTTTTTCCCGCGCTTCTTCTTTCATTTAAATGTGCACCAATCAGTAACCAAATGTATTATGATATGGAGATTGACATATGGACCTGGTATTGGCAGGGGCGTGTCTTACTCTAGCGGCAAAAATATGAACTAGTCTTCGTAAGTTGCTATGCATTATGTATATAAACAAAATAGAGAACGTTTATATAATTATCATTTTTTAATAACAGCAAGAGGGTGAGCCATAACTAAAGGTCTTTAGGGATTTCTACTTTGTGGTATTGGTAACTGTTAAGGCGTGTTTCCCTTAACCAGAGGATCGTTCCGTGAGTGAGGAAACTGACCAATAGGAGCACTGGGTTAGAGTGAGAGAGAAATCTCCTTTTTTATTTGCGATCTCAGGGACGAGCTTTATTCACAGACGATGCCGAGCACGTGAACCATGGTGCTGGGCGAGTGCCCGATGGTGCTAAGCGCGGGCAGGATAATGCTGAATTCTGGCCGGATGAAGACGATCTGATCTGCTTCGAGCGTTGGGATGAGGGCGAGAGCGAGGCGATCGAGCGATCAACCGTGAGGCCCAATCAGACGGTGCACGTCAGGAAAAAGCGCTTCCTGCTGGGTCATTACCGGTGGCATGAGCTGAAGCTAAGGTTGCTGACCGAGAGGTGTCAGCACTGAGCTGGTGCGAGACGCCACAGGCTTATCGTCCAGTTAAGATCAGGTAATTAAAAGATATTTTGTAAGGTTCACATCTTCCTATTACAATATATAAAGAATATAAGGATCAATTATGATTTTTTGAGTATATTTCGACAATTTTTATGATCCTATATCGTATTTTTAATCATTCGAAGTTTGTCTTTATTATAGGAGGAAACAAGAAGTACTGCGCAGTATTTTCGCGCACGCAGTTTTTTAGCGCCAGTTTTGTGTACAGCAATATGGCGAATCTTTCAAATTTTTTAATCTGTCATCTCTATACTTTTTGCAGCGGATTTTGTTATCTCATTAAAGAAGAACAGTTTTTCAGCGTATAGGAGGACCGAAAAATTTTCAGTCCAGCATGTAAAACATCTTTAAATAGATATGTAATGGTTATGCAAATGTATATACTTTTAAACAATCTTAAATAAAAGATGAGTACATTAGAGTATTAAAATAATCATTAATTAATAGAAAGGAATGTCTATTGTTGTTTAAAAGCTTTAAACAAAAGCGCTAAAAAAAGAGATATTTAGGTGATATAGTTAGATGCCTTACATTGTATAATATATATATATATATGTATATACATGTATATAGTCAATCAAGCGTGGGCATGGAACTATGTAGAATCGCCCACGCGTATTTTGCAGCAGCTTGCTTTATATAGGTTTACTGCAGGGCGAATAGTTCAGCAGTGTACCTGAGACCGCGATGAACGCACATTTGAATCAGCATTGCAGAAATTCGCGTATCTTTTCAAATTCCCTTGTTGGCTTCTTTCTTTCTTTTATTTTCTTTTATCTTTTTTTATTTTTTATATTTTACAATCATTCTTTTGTCCATTATTTTTTGCAATGAATCCGAGTTTACGAAAAGCTAAAAAAAAAAAAAAAAGAAATGAAAATAATTAATAATTCGCGAGTGCTGTAGAATATTTTGTCGAAGATTTTTAAATTTGTAAAATGTTTCCTTCACAAATTTCATTGAAATTCAAACTAGTACGAGAATAGGTCGTTTGAATGGGATTGAACTTCGCGCCTTTATTGACGTCCAATGATTATCGTTCGATTAGTTGCTGCGATATCGATAAATGGGTTAATCAATTTCATTGTTTCGTACGTGTAAATAATTTCGAAAAGAAATTTGAATTTTAATTCGGTTTCTTTTTTGTTTTTGTTTTTTTTTTTGAAAAAGAAAATAATGTTCGATGAATTATTGATTGGCGAATGATGAGTTAATATAACGAAGAGTTGAAAATTAAACGAAGAAAGGATCATTGAAGAGAATTCAAGATTTCAAAATGTAACTGCATCTTTGAAATGTTAGAATTTATCATCATGTTGCTTTGTAAGTAATATATTTTCAAATTGTAATAATTATATATAATTAATAATTGATGGAAAATGTAGGAAATGCATAAACGTTTCCACCTTTTTCCTATAATTTTCTATAATTATTAAAATTATTTGTGTATTACTTTCATGATAAATATCTTTCTAATAATGTCATTATGTTCTAACAGATTTGTATCGTTTATTATTAGATAATTAGGTTCTCGTAAATGAGCGCACACGTTTAGTGAATATTAGCATGCGATGGTTCCCGATACGATTATTAGTTATGAGAGCTTATTCAAATATGTAAATGATCCAGTAACTTTTGTATATGCATAATACGAAAAGCGACAATACTAACAACACACATATATACATGAATATATATATGCAAATATATAAATGATCTTACATAATTATATACTATACTGAATCGTGTATACTACAGAGTACACATTTACTCGCTGGCATTATTGAAGAATAGAGACTGAATACATGTATATATATATATATGAGTACCAGGATGTGAAAGAGAGGATAAAGTATTGAGAATTCATAAAGAGATATAGAAAGATAGGAAAAAAGCTTATCGATGAAGTACTATGTAGTACGTTTATCCGAAAATCTGATGGGACAAAAGCAAGTATAGTACTGATATTTGATAAAGAACTGATATTTTATATGGAATATGTTATGACTAACAACTCGTCAAATATAACAAATAAAATATCTATTAATATTTTATTTTTTAATATTTAATATTTAATATTTATTATTATTATTATTATTATTATTATTATTATTATTATTATTATTATTATTATTATTATACTCGTCAAATATCAAATATATAAAAATGTAGATTTCGTTTGTGCCTAATTGGTAATCTCCAAAAGTACTTTACCGATTATCTAGAAATTTTGATACAATGTTGCATTCGTATACAGCTAAGTTTTTATTAGATTCAATTATTTATAAAATAATTATTTAATTTTTTAAAAATAATTGTTTATATTGTTGTAGATTTCAGTGAATTCTCGAAATATATCAGACTTTGTAAATATGATCACGCAAAACATTTGTGAACATATTATGTAGGATAAAAGAGTATGTATATACGTATATGACTACAAACTATAAAACTACAAACTAGAAAAGAAATATTACTCTTTCTCAGTGTATTTCTATCGATATCTTCTAATACTGTCTAATATTGGAGCATTTACCAATATATATGTAGATATGTTTCTAAATCTGATGCTTCTGGCTAATGTATGTACTTATATACGTATCCCAATAGGAAATACAATGCACACATATAGTCAGTGGCTGCTCGTCAGTGCGAGATGTAAGCTGATTATACGGAATAAACATGTATGTGTGTGTATATTGCAATAGATTTCCGTGCACGTGGATATGTGCATTTAGATTCGTAGATGTTAATGCAAAAGTGAAAACATTTAATATATCTTAGAGTAGATATTTGCAATTTTTCAATTCAAAGAAAATATTATTATAATCTTATTTTTAACTTAAATTAAAATAATATTTAAGAAAATATTCTTGAACAATTTTTCGAATTATGGAATCATCTAATGTCTTACGAATAAAGATTTGAATATCAGTTATAAAATGACAAATAGAAACTTGATAAATAATTTCCTGTCAAACGTTTCAGTAGTTCAGTAACGGTTTAGTGATACAGGTCGAGATGCAAATGTATGATTCGTATGTAGCAGATCGAAATCGTGCATGGTTGAAATTCAAGCGCATGAAATACACTAGGTCTGTTGTTCACGATGAAATACACGATTTAACCTGGAAATAACACTGGCGTAGGGATGACGAGTATCGTATGGAAACTAGGCTACCTATCTACCTACCTACCTAACTAACTAGTTACCCATATGTGACTTTGTCCTGTTCTCTCTCTCTCTCTCTCTTTCTCTTTCTCTCCTGTGGTGCCAAATTGGAAATGTTTATAACATGTGAACAACGAGTTCAATCATAACCAGATATATTGGATAATTCTATTTAATTGGAATTTTCATTTTGATAATTTCATTTATCATACAAAGTTTTGTAAAATATGATTATTCGTTTGACAAAAAGAAGACGAAAAAAACACAAAAAATTGTGGTAGTTTGAAATAATTCACATATGCATACGCGTTTGCTATATACCCGGATATACAATATTAATGTGTAACTTTCCACTTGACTAAGTTAAGAGAAAAGTTTCATCCGATAAACATACGATATTTCCCGTATACTGTATCCACGATATTCGTAGAAATACAAAACGAGTTTTGGAGTGCGAAATGCCCGACAACAAGAGCTCCGTAAACATCGACACCACTTGCATATCCTGCATTTGTCGTCGAATCACCGAAAGTCCCTACCCACTCTGTGGCTGCTGATACGAAAATCCTATACGAAACTTTTCATATTTTTCCTACTGTGATTTGATTGAATTTATTGCGAAAGGGTAGATCAATAGGGTACCTAGAAGTTTTGTGTCTGTTTTTGAAATTTGTCAAAACAATTCGTATTTTCTTTATTGATTTTTATAAAAATTTTTATAAAAAATATATATATATATTTTTTTTAATACGTTAATCGAAATACGAATGAGAGAGTTTAGAATTTGATTGATAGATTTTTGTAGATATTGTCTTCGATTTTTAAGATCATTAACACGCCCCTCCTCTTTTATCCACTTTCTTTGGATAAATCAATGATAGAAAATAGGACAACGAATCCGTAAAATTTTATAGCCTTTTCGAAAGATTTATTCCTTCTTTTTCAACAGTTCTTTCAATTGTTCCTTGATATTTTTCTAGTTGCCTTCTTAAATGGTATTTAAGAGAACGTTCAAAGAAAGAGAAGAAACTGTGCATTCCATGAACGTTTATCTGATTGGAATACGAAAGAAAGTTCAATTTGATACTTTGATGAGTTTTTACATTTTTTTTTTGTTTTTGTTTGATTTCATTTTAAACAAAGCTAAAGATTTCATTTTATCGGTGTTACACGCTTCGTTTCATTTTCTACAATAGCAAATATCTGCTTTGACTTCGAATGAGTGTTTACAAAAATTTATACGAGTTACGTTCAATAAAATTTATAGGGAACATCTAAAAGTCATCAAAGATTTGACATACTTTTGTCTTCCAGTTGAAAAAATAATTAATAGACCTATAAAAAAACAAAAAATTAATTTCATCAAAAAAGCAGACACACAATTAAAGACCATTATTTTTTGTAGACACCATTTAGAATTCTCATTGAAATTTCTTTATGTTACTTCAATTTTATTTCAATTTTTATTATTGAATGTATTTGATGAACATAATTAATTGTAGAATTTAGTAGAAATTTGTTATGTTGTAACTTCATTCGCAGACAGGGATGAAATATACGATGTAGGATTGCATACCATTTTTCAGGAGAGATAAACTTCATCGGCATTATTTTCCCTACTTTCTTTCTTTCTTTTCTTTCTTTCTTTTTTTTTTTTTTTTACTGTCGCTTCATCCGTTCGTTTATTATGGAGATGTTTCAAATTCTTGGCACGTTTTTCTCAACAAGCACTCGTGCGTCTTGCAAGGTAGACTCAGACAGACCGTATCGACTGCGTACAAATGGATCCTCTGTTCCCTTTTGCTCTGTTCCTTAATTCCCTTAGAGACATAGACATAGGCATACACACACACACACACGCACACTCATACACACAGACATCCGTAGGACGCGTATCATTTCAAAAGTATGTAAAATTAATTTGCTTACCTTTGTTATTCAATCAAATTGTATCTTTAAACAAAATGACCTTATCCAAATTTTATTTCAATAATTTTTCATATTTAAGGTCGAACAGAAATATTTTATAAGATTATTTATACAAAATCTAAATCATTTAGAATTTTAAATTGGATTTCAAATAAAATTTAATTGTATTGTTTAATTTAAAGTAAATTAATTGTACAAAATTGTTGAATAATGATAATAGATATTTTATAAAGGATTTATTAGAGAAACTTTTGATTCATTTTGCATATTTATATGTATACGTCACTTGTGCAGTTTTTGCCATTAAATTGAAATCGGCAGAATCACAAAAG